TTTCAATAAAAAAACTTTTTGGAACTTCCTGATTTGTTATGTGAATTTCTGAAATGTTGAAAATTTTGAATTCAAAACATTTGGGATTTTGGGATTTTGGGAATTTTTTAATTTAAGATTTTTTTAAATGTTGGAATTTCAGAATTTTCGGAATGATCAGAATTTGTAAAAGTTTCTGGAGTTTTTATAACTTTGAAATTTTTTGAAATTTTTTCTTTGAATTTATCGGAAATTTTGAAATTCCTCGTTTTCAAAAAATCTATTAGAACTGGGTAAATCTAATTGTTTTAAAAAACTTTCAGGTATTTCGAAGTTCTAGAACTTCTAAATTTCTGATCTCATTACAAAAGTTCTAACAAATCGAAATCCTAGGCGGAGGCCGCTGATTGAAGCAAAACATCCCCTAAACGTCTTCTGGAGTCTCCAGAAGACATTCTTTAAACAGTCTCCTATCTGTCTAGTCGGTTACCTCATACCCCATATATTTTAAATCCCTTTCATTTTCCCCCTTCATTTCCTCTTTTTCAAGTTCAAAGCACACTTCAATCATCTTCATTAATCACAAGAATTGCCCTCCCTAAATACCAATTGAACTGTATTTTCTCTTCTTCTCTTTTCTATGATTCTTTTCGATGTTTGGCACATCCCCAGAAGAGAAACGACTCTCAAGTGAGAAGTTGACGCGATCTCAAGTGCTTGCGCTTACCGTTTCCATCGCCCAATTCTTTTCAACTTGCGATCGGATATCAGATCGGTTTCTCGCCTCGAGGGAACCACCAAAAATCTGCGCTTCTTTCCGAGTTACAATGGTTATGTGGAAGTCAGAAAATTGTATTCTTTGAATCGAATCGAATGTTTACTATTTGACCCTCTTTTTCTGTATCCATCCCAGACATTAACTTTCTAAGATCAACTAAGGGTATGTAAATAGAAGGGAAAAGAGAGAGGAAACTGAAGTGTTATGATATTCTGATCATGATACTTTTGGAATTTTGGTTGCTGTACTTTTAAGTGATGCGCTGAAATGGTTTGAAATGTAAAAATAATTTCAGTTAGTTAAAAAACTAGAAATTGATTCAAAAACCGTAAAACCTGTAGTAAAAGGGCCCCCTAACTACTAACTTCAAGAAAAAAATATATAGACTGACAACTTTTAACTTTTGGCTAATTTTTCTCGATTCCTGTTAAAGATATGACAAAGCTGTCAACTGATGAATTGTTTATCAGTATATTACAAAAATTTTATCAGTTGACGCATTGTTGATTTTTTTTTATGAGCGCCAAGATAATTGAGCTCAAACGTGACAGTGTGGAGACCCTTCCATTACAGGTTTTACAGTATACTAGAAATCATTTTATCGAATGTAAATTACCTACTTCCAGAAAAATTAATTGAAATTGCTGACTTTTAGAAAAAAAATAGAGCTGATAATCTTTCAGTATCAACCAGATTTGGCGGTTTGTTATGTAGCTCCCTACATTTGACCGTTTTTTTTAAATGTTCTTCTAATTTAATTCCTCGTTAACCATCTCTATAATTCCGCGACTAGACTAGCAGCTGTGAACTCATAACTACAATTTTATAGTTTTAAAAAAACTGTGTTCCCATATTTTTTCTTTCTCATAGTACATTCTGCGACCATCTCTTCCAAAATGTTCCCACATTCCGAAAGAACACGTCCTATAAAAATTTGGCAATCCATCCACCACTAGAAAGATCAGATCGCATCACTTGATAAAAACGTGAGACAGGCTGTTCCCAGAGAGAGAGCTCACCCAAATTTCTTTATCCGTCTGTGTCTTTCTACTCTCTCTCTCTCTCCTTCTCTCTCTCTCTCTCTCGTTCTATTTATTTTAGAAACTGATGATGATGATCTTGGGACACAGAGAGAAAAAGAGAGAGGGAGATTTCACCTTCCGAATGATATGTGAGATATGATTCGAAGGTTGGAGGGTAAACGATATTTAATAAAACCCCCTCCTCTCGCCGGGGACGGGCAGAGGGGGGCTCTTTTCTTTTTGATTGAGCTCTCAACTTTTTTTACACTTTTTCTTTGTCTTTTTCCGAGATCCTTGATAATAATTAGCAGATAATAAATTGTATGGAGTTTGATTTTGGTGAACTATCAATTCATAGAAAATATTGTAAACACTCTAATAATGCCACCCAAACCATAACCTTGATTCTATTTTAGGAGGACCTTTTATTAGAATGTTTACGGTACCTGTTTGGGAGTCTGCCCAGAATGTTAGAAAGATGATAAATGATTTATTAGACCGTTTTTAAGATTCACACTCCGAATTGACATAACCTGATTTTTCGCATCCCCTCTTATTGAACAGCACCCTCTTGTAGCCTGAAATATCTCAGAACCTGTAGAAAAATCCAATATTTTGAACTATCGACTAGCTTGAAACTTGATTCATATTAACCAATTTGATCAATTTTCGCTACCTCTGCGTACTTGAACTCAATCATTCAGCTTTGATCTGATAGAGACCATATACATATCAGTTGAATACAGGGTGGCGCACAATTACCCGCACTGATAAAACGGGTATATCTTTAAACCAAATTACCTTGGCAGCACGAAAATTATTAGAAATATAATTTTACGTTTGATTCAAAGCTACTAAAGTTTTAAAAGAGATTCCTCGAGTTTAGTTATTGTTATGATTGTCCAAAGATGAACGCCGTAATGTTTCTTGCGATTTTCATGAGATGAAGCAACTTTGGTAAGCGATAACTCAGCTCAAAGTTTGTCAAATAATTTCTTAGTCCGTGTAATTATAAACTTTAGTCCGTGTAATTATTTGCCGCCCTGTACTTTTTCTAGTATCTTCCAGAAAAAAGGTACATGAGGTCAAAAAATGTTTTTTTTTCAAATTTCAATCGATCAGAAGGTTATTTTTGAAAACTATTTTCCTACAAAACCCTTATTGTGCACTTTCTCCTCTAACCCTGATTGTTTTGACCAGTGTAATTCTCGTAGGCAAGAAATGGTGAAGAGTAGTGGAGGACATGCTGCTCATTTATAAACAAAACTTTTTCGAAAAGATCCTACAACAGACGGACCCACTTTTGGGAAAGAAACAATAATCATTGAGAAATCTCTTCCTCTTATTCTTCTTTTCATTTCTTTTTTATTCTTCTAAACTCTTTTTTTTTCATAGTCTCCCATTTTTGGAACCTTCACACACGCAGGTGGAACCTCGATTGGAATAAGTCCTTCTGGAGAAGAAGGAAAGTCAAATGCGATGAACCGTCATCTAATAGGTCGCTTGGTGCGCCCCTTTTTGAGTCCTGTCCTCCTCCTTCTTTTTCCCATTTTTTCGTTTCTTTTTTTCTTCCTTCTCCATCACTTCTTAGTTCTTTCTCTCCGCCCCTTCTGAAGGGGGAGGAGAGAGCAGCAGAAAAAAGGTCCACTTTTTTATATTACATGTAATTTTTGAAGCGCTTTTTTTCATCCCGAAAAGGACGTTAGGGGCCTATTTGTATCTTTTTGTTTCATACTTTTCACTTCGTACTGGTTTTTCTAATTATCCTCCTAATCTCATTTGCAAAATCTATGAATTTCGTCTTTGGAAATCATTTGGTCAAATCTAGTTAATGAAAATGATGACAGAGAAGATAATACGTTAGTGTAAGCTGACAATGAGTCAATAAGTACACTCAAATATTGTTCATCAAAGATACAGTAATCCTTTAAAACCATAAGGGTTTCTTTTGGTAGCTTTAGCTTATTTATTTAGAGTGGCGCATGGGGCTGTAAGCCACTCTGTAGTAGACCAATCTTCCTGAAGCCACTGTAGCTATCCGTAATTGTTTATGAGTTCTGCCGAATTTTTCGAAATTTTGGAGATGGACCTGTGTCCCATAAAATTGGACACTCGTAAAATTTTTAAACGGCGATCTATTCTGGTTTTATAGCTCGATATACCCCATTCTAAAACCAACGTATTTTCAATGGGTTCTGTATTTATTATCTCCCAAAATCTACGATGCTTGAGAGCCAAAAGTTTGAAAAGCTTTGAGATTTTGAACGGGTTTTCCACAGCGCCAAGAACCGGTACTGTTCAGTTTCTGGACACTTCCAGAAAGTTTTAGTTTTGAAGTTTTCGAGAAATGTCAGAAAAAGTAATTTTTGCAATATTAAAAACCGTAAAACCTGTAGCAGGGCTCCACACTGCCAACTTTGAGCTCAATTATCTAGATTCTTGTGAAAGATATCAAAAAGTGGTCAACAGCAATATTTTATCAATTAACAAGTTTTTTATATCTTTCATAGAAAAATGGATAATTGCTCTCAAATTTGACGGTTTGGGAGGGCTTCTATTACAGGTTTTACGATAGCTTTAGAAGTCATTTATTTTCAGAAAGCCCAACGCTCTCTAACTTTTTCGGAGATGCCCAGGTCCAAAGTGCATAAGAGAGACTAGTTTGGTTTTCAAACGAATGACATGGAAAAAAACCGCATCATCCTTATTATGAGCTCACAATGAAAAAGTTTTCTCTGGATTTTTTGTCCTTCTCAAAAGGAAAAGAGGGCGCCATTGGCGCCAGATTGAAACCTGATATTAGAGTGGTCAGGACCAATAAAAACTAGTTTATAATACTCCCTCCCCACCCTCTCGTTTTTTTGTCCCCAACCGGAATAATATTCACCCTTTTTTGTATACAACGGGCTGAATCTTTATTGGGGTATTTTCTTGGAAAATGTCAAAACTAATTTCATTTTCAATTCTATATTGGTAGTCCCCCAAAAAACCGTTTGAAAACCTCTTGAAGGTCTTCAAAAATTCATATAAATTCCATGAGGTCCCCCTCTTCCTCCTTTTCATCTTCCCCCCATCCATTCTTTGTGTTATTAACAGCTCTTCCATTTTTCCCCCGTTTTATGATGTTCTCTTTTTTTCAGTTCTAATGATACAAGAAGTTTTATTTCGTAACTCTCTTTTCTTTAAAGTTCCATTTTTTCAGGATCACCACACACGGGAGGATGCAGTCCTCTTCGTTGGGGAGTGCTGATGATCCTCGCTTCCGACAGACACATTTATTCCAAATGTTGGTGAAGGTAAGAGTTTTTGATTTTGATTCTTCTATGATAGTTTTCCAGAGCGGTTGTAAACCTAAATTAAAAACTAGTCGTGCCCAGAAGTCTCCCTTTTGAAAGAGGTCCTCCAAGGGGGACGAAAAATCACCCGGATTGATAAAAACGGATATATTTTTAGACATAGGTATCTTGGAAGCAGTGTGCCTTATCGACAAAGATTTTCCAATTTTGTCGACAAATTATCGATAAATTTATCGACAAAAAACGATAAACTTTTGTCGATAAATTGTTGACAAATTATCGGTAAATTTGTCGAAAGTAATTTATCGACAAAATTTTGTTGACAAATTGTCGATAAATTTGTCGTTTTCTTTGTCGATAAATTTGTCGAAGGGGGCATTTGTCGACAAATTATCGACAAAAAATTGCTATTGACCGCCGGAATTACTTGTAAAAAATCGTATCTCATCTTTTCTTTTCTAGGCCATCTGACCTGGTGCCCTAATTTTTCCAACACGAATTTTCTAGGCCACCAAACTTTTTGACCTGAAAATGATCTGATGTTAACATGGTGGGTTTTTAAGCCATTTTAACATGGTGGCCAAACTTTTGCAATATGAGTTTTCTAGGCCACCAATCTTTTTGACCTAGAAATGGTCAGAAATTCATCTGGTACATTTTCTGAGCCATTTTGGGGTGGTGGCCTAATATTTGCAAGTTGAGTTTTCTAGGCCACCAACTTTTTTGGCTTAAAAATGATCAGATATTCATCTGGTATGTTTTATAGGCCATTTTTACATGGTGGCCTAGAAAACTCAACGCGCGAAAGTTAGGCCACCATGTTAAAATGACCTAAAAAAGCATCAGGTGAACATCAGATCATTTCTAGGCTAAAAAGAATCGTGGCCTAGAAAATTCATGTTGTGAATGTTGGGCTACCAAGCCATATAGCCTATAAAGTTTTGCTGGGTAAGTTCTTCCATCATTCTAGACGTCCTAGGAAAAAATGGTAACGATACGATATTTTACAAGTAATTCCGGCGGTTAATAGCAATTTTTGTCGACAATTTGTCGATAAATTTGTCGAAAAGGGCGTTTGTCGACAAATCGTTTGTCGATAAGGCACACTGCTTGGAAGCATGAAAATTGGTAGAAATATAATTTTACGTTTGATTCAAAGCTGCTGAAACTTTCAAAACGATTCCTCAAATCTAGATATTGTTATGATGGTCCAAAGATGAACCGTTGTGATTTTCATGAGACTCTAATCAAATTTTATGCTAGTACAAATTTTGGTCATTTTTAAGTACTATCCTAACGTAGAAGAAGCTAAAACAGTCAATCTCCTGGCCAGATGAAGCTTCTATTTTCCCAAACCTTCAGGATCCGTATTTTTTAATACCCTGTTTCTCTCCCGTCCTAATTTTTTAATGATCCAAGTGAAAAGTGTGAAAATGCCTCTCATCAGATAATAAAATCGGCCCCCTCAACAAATAGGATACAAAAAACGTCTTTCTCATTTTCCGATAGAAACGAGCTCCTCTTTTTTTTGATGATCAATTAGTGAGATTAGATTTGAGGGTGGTGGGGAAAAATGAGGTTTCTGCAAAAGTGGGGAAGAATAAATGAATGAGAGGAAAGATCAGGATGGAGATTGATTGGAGATAATTGGGGAAATTTTTGGAAGAAGATATTGCGGATGTTTTTTTTCTAGATTTATTGATAGAAGGAGATGTTGTAGAATGAGATATCTGCTGGGGAATAGGGTTGGGGAACATTCAAGTTACTATAAAAATAGATTTCCAAAGTTTCCGAGTTCCAGAAATCTTTAAATTTGGAGACCAAATTCCGAATTATTTGGTAAACTTTGAGCTGAGTTACCGCTTGTCAAAGTTGCTTCATCTCATAAGAATCACAATGAAACATTACCTTGTATATCTTTGGACAATCATAACAATACCTAGACTTGAGGAATCGCTTTGAAAATTTCAGTAAATTTGAATCAAACGTAAAATTACATTTCTACCAATTTTCATGCTTCCTTCCATGATACTTATGTCTGAAGATATATCCGTTTTTATCCTTTTTCTACCTGTAGTTTAGGCCAAACAAATGTTTTTTATGTGATATTTATGTGACGTTTTGTGAAGTTATGTCTAAAGATATGCCCGTTTTTATCAGTCCGGGTGATTATGCGCCACTTATGTGCCGAAAATAATTTTTGACTTTTTCTATCCAAAACTTTCAGACGAAACGGATACCCTTTAGTTACTTTTTCAGAGCGATTTCTGATTTCGTACAAAAATTTTGAGTTTCTAAAATTGTTATTCTATTTTTTTCCAAAAATGTATTTATTTGATCGAGAACAACATCAACGCGCTCCCAAAACTATTTTTCCAAAATGATGACTTCAGGTGATAAATACGTCGGCTGAGAATGCGACAAAGACAGCTCTTCTTGCCACGTCATCCACATCCACGCCATCATTCGTCGACACCTACTCGGCGACGTCGTTGCTCGGCGAAGAAGGACGAATGATTCTGATAGTCGTCGTCGGTGCCATTTTCGCATTTCTGACGTCGGTTGGAAATTTGATGGTAAGTTTTGAAACACTTTATGGGGTTTCTTAGCAAGTTGACTACAGGGTGCGGCAAAAGTCTTTGTGCATAACTTTGAAGCAAAATTATCCATATTGCTAGTTGTCATACAGTACCCGAAATTTGCAGTTGATACTAAAAGACTATTTGAATATATCTGTCAAATTTTGAAAAAATCTCATGATCCATTCAAAAGTTATAACCATTAGAATTCGCTACCTCAGAATTTCTACTTTTATTTGGACGGTTTTTTGAGATTGAGGGTAGGTTTCTCAAACGTGATGAAAATTAAGTTTTCGCTTCAATATCGCTCTGGTTAAGTGATTAGCTTGATGAACCCATATATCATTCGAATTCACATTTGATGCTCTATTTCACAGCGCAGATTTTACAAAATTTGTTTAACCATCATAGGTTTCAAAAGAATAAAGGCATTTTTCGAGGTAATGTTGGCACGCAACTTCCTCTAATTTTTCCCCAGCATGGCTTATGGCCGAACAGAGATTTGTAGGAACATTCACACTATGTTTTAATAATGAAAATAAACTGTTGTTTTCGAAAAACATGGTACTTCATCAACTCCGATCAGTACCTACTGATCAGTCATGGTTTTCCGCTGACCGTTCAAAAGTTCGAAAAACTTTATTTTTTCTTTTGTGAATGCCTCGAAAAGTTTTTTGTCAAAACAAGAGATTTTTCAAACTACCTATGTAAGTTTGAAGGCATCCTGTTTCATTGATTATCGAACCATACAGTCTCATGTTGTATGAACATTGTAAACAGGACTCATAGTTTTTAAAAATCAATGTTTCAAAGTCCCGCCATAACCAGTAAGAAAGATAGACAAGATTAAACTTGAAAAAAGCTTCGTGCCGCAAGCATAGTGTAATCAACCACTCTTCTGATCCTAGGAAAGTTAAAAATGAAAATTTTAAAAATCAAAGTGATTCTTAAATTTCAGCAATAGAGTAATCTACCTGGAAAGTTTCAGAAAGTTCCGATCACTTAGAGGAAAGTTACAACGACTTGTTTATGCACAAAGACTTTTTCCGCACCCTGTTCAGTAAACTAATAGAATATCTTCCTAGCCGTAAACTTTGAGCATATGTATCTCTTTCTCTGTAAAAAAATATCAAAAAGTGGTCAACTGATAAAATATTTTTGACATTCTGATAAACAATTTATTTATTGACGGTTTTTTGATATCTTTTACAGGAACCGAGATACATTGGCTCAAAGTTAGGGCGACTTAAATTCATATTGTTGTTGACAGAAAAAAGATAAGAAAGTTATTAAATTACAGGTGATGGTGAGCTTCAAAATCGACAAACAACTGCAGACTATTAGCAACTATTTTTTATTCAGTTTAGCTGTCGCTGATATCGCTATCGGTAAGTACAATCAAAATACTCAAAAATCCATTTTAAGATAAAAGTTTTAGGCTTCATTTCAATACCAATGTTCACTTATTACACTGCTGTTCAAAGTTGGGATCTCGGCTACACAATGTGCCAATTCTGGTTGTGTATCGATTATCTCATGTGCAACGCATCCGTTATGAATCTTCTTCTCATTTCTTTCGATCGATATTTTTCTGTAACTCGACCGTTGTCCTATCGACCCAGAAGAACGACTAAGAAGGCGTTGACGATGATTGCTTGCACTTATATCATTTCACTGATTCTATGGCCACCGTGGATTGTTTCATGGCCTTATATCGAGGGAAAATTCACTGCAGAACCCGGCACCTGTGTAGTACAATTCCTTCAAACAAATCCATATGTAACAGTGGGAACTGCAGTTGCTGCATTCTACCTTCCAGTTACAATCATGTGTATACTGTATACACGAGTATACTGGGAGACACAGAAGAGGCAGAAAGAGTTCGGAAAACTTCAAGCCACTCAGGTAATCTTTATTATTTGGATTTCCAGATGACTTTTATCATAAAAACAGACTTGGGCAAGTGATGTGGTTGATCGACCATCGACATCGTTGAGAAACTCTAAAATATGGAAGAAAGTGAAAAAGGTTTCTAGAAAAATCCAAGAGAATCACCTTTATTTCATTCATCCTACACATTTATATACTTTTTGCTGTTATGATTTCTCCCAATACACTTCTAAGCATGTCTATCCTTCAGAAATATCCTTCAGAAATTAACTTTTTTTATTCTAAAAATCTTGAATTTCAGTTCTCGCGCCGATCTATGAAACGAGATGTATCCTCTACTTCCATAGTGAAATCCAGTGGATCAGTTAGAAAAAAGCATCACGAAGGATATATCGATGAGAGTATGACACCTTGCACGTCATCGAGAAATTCAAAAAGGAAGTCTTGGTTGCGAAATTGTACGGGGAAGTCCAATTCATCATCGGAGGATAGTTCAGAAGCTGTTGCAATGAATTTGGATGACACTTCGTTGAGTTCAAGTCATTTTGCATTGAGTGGCAGTCGGAGAAGGAATGTTTCACCACCTTGTACACCAATGCCTACAAATTTTGTAAGTTAAAAAAAAATTTTTGGTTAAAACAGACAGTCTTCTTTTCTAGTAATGATTAATTTGAACATTTTCAAGTTACTCAAACACAAATTATAATTTACCGTAAACAATTGAATCCCACGGAAACCTCCAAGTTTGAGCTCAATTATCTCAGTTCCTGTGGAAGATATCAAAAAGTGATCAACTTGCAAAATGTTTATCATAATATCAAAAATATTTTGTCAGTTGACCGCTTTTTTCTTCGACCGGAATCGAGATATATGGATTATAGATAGCGGATTGGATGGCACACTATTAAAGTGTTTACGGTAACCATTGATTTGAAATTTTCGAGTTTTTCAAACACAACTGAAATTGTAAATTAGTCGATGAACAACTTTTCTGTAGAAATTTATACAGACGATAATTTCCGATTTAAAAGATAAAATTACCTACATAAAACTAAGAAGTTACCTTCCGTATACCGTAAAACTTGTAATAGAAAAGTCCCGCAAATTTTAACGTTGAGCCCATATACCTCGGTTCCTGTTGAGTATATGAAAAAGTTGTCAACTAATAAATTGTTTATCGTAATATCACAAGCATTTCATCAGTTGACAACCTTTTGATATCTTGCACAGGAATTGAGATAATGGAGCTCAAACTTGACGCTGTGGGGGCCTTCTATAAGAGATTTTAAGGTATGTACTAATTGAGCATCTTTTTTTGAAAATTGTTCCCGGAAGTTTAATTTATTCTCTAGTCACCATTATTTTCTAAAAACTTAAGTCCCTGCTATTTTTCGTGTCTTCACTTTAAACACCTCCGGTACAAAACCGCAAGTTTCCTTATCAGTGACGTTTTCATGATGAAAATGTTTCATCTAGACACAATTCTAACATTAAAATTCACAAATGTCGCACAATATTATAGAAATGTATGAATCAAATCAAACATAGACTTTCCAGGAAGACGAAGAGCAAACAGATGCAGGACAATCGATGCGAAATGGATCAGCTAGATTCAGAAGTCGTCCTTCGGATTCGAAGAACAACAACTCAGACACCTACACAGTTTTGATAGAGTTGAACGATGAAGGAAGTCGTCCAAGTGTTAGATTAAGTAGCTGTGAGCCATATTTAGAGTGAGCAATACCCCCCCCCCCCCCCAAATTCTAATTTCTAAAACTTTAATTTCAGTGACACAATATCCACTCGTAATCGATCAAAAAGCGACTGCAACAGTGAAATGGATGAGAGACGACAGAGTCTTTTGAACAAGCAATCGCCATTCAAAAATGGTCGAATCCTCAAGAACTTTAGCTCTCAAGAGCGGAAAAGTGAGAAAGAGCAGAGGAAAAATGAAAGGAAACAAGAGAGCAAGGCAGCAAAGACACTTTCGGCCATCTTGTGTGCTTTCATTGCCACATGGACGCCGTATAATTGTGAGTTTTGGAATAGAAAAGATTAAAAGATCAATTATGTGTTTCAGTGATCGTTTGTTGGGAAGCATTCTTCCCAAATACCGTACCAAACGTTTTATGGACTTTTAGCTATTCACTTTGTTATATTAACTCTACAATCAATCCACTTTGTTATGCTCTTTGTAATGCAAGGTAAGAATTTGCCTCTAAATTTTTGATGCGGTTACTAGCAAAATCAGCGATTTTTCTGAGGCCGTGGCCGCTACAAATTCTTGAGTTTTCTAGGCCATTCACTTGTCCACGTGGTGTCCACAGCCAGCCAAGCAACACTCTTGCTGGAAATCCCATAATGTTGAAACGATTTACGAGCTATAAATCAAAAACGCATAGAATTTCCTTCAATGGTCTCGCTTGGCTGACCGTGCAGTCCACGTTGACAAATGACCTAGAAAACTCCAGAATTTTTAGCTGGCGCGGCTGATTGCTGATTTTGCTTCGCTCTGTATAAGAAAAACCATTCTTCCAGATTCCGTCACACGTACATGCGAATCCTCCGTTGTAAATTCAAAGCTGAACGACCCACAATCAATCAAGGATACGTTCGACGAAATTGATTCAAACACGGTAGATCCCCAATACCTTTTTCCATAAGATCTCCAGAAAAAAACGAACAGTATAATAGAATTTTCAAAACCGGTACCCGAAATTATCATATTTCTTTTTTTTCATAAATTTTTCTGTCTCATCTCTTGATTTTCTATTTGATCCCTTTTCCACTTCCCCTATCAAATTATCCTACATTCTCTTCTCTTTTCTCGCTCTCGATTCATTGCTCATCCTTAATTACGGGTAATTAATGAATAAACAAGATTTATTTTTTTGATGTTTGATTGATTGGTTGATCAAATGAGATTAATCAAATGATGGATGATACTTTTGATAGGGAAGAATGGTCAACATACAAATTAAAAAAATAAGTTATAAACAGTTTCGAAATTTTGTTCTTCAAAATTTCAAACTCTTTGTACAGTATGAAAAAAAAAAGATTAATTGACAAAATATTTTTGGTATTGTGATAAGCATTTTGTCAGTTGATCTTGTTGATCTTTGTCGCAGGGAAGGAGATACGGGCTCAAAGTTGTAAGTTTGGGTGGTACTCTATTAGAGTGTTTACGGTATACGAGGTTACCTCTCATCAAACTTTATCAATAGAGGATAAAAATATCTGAAAATCAGAATTTCCAAATTTCCAATTATTTTACACTGAATAAAAGTGAAAAAAAACCGTTTCACAAGGGAGTTACTTGAGGGAGCAGTTTTAACTTTTTTTGAAATTTTGGGAGCAGATAGAAGAGCTTATGAGGATTCCAAATCTGTTTAAAAAATCAGCAAAATGCTCACTTGAGCTGAGTTATGACCTAGAAAAGTTTCCCTATGATTAAGCAATATCTCGTGAAATATTTTTCACGGAATAGTGTATTTCTTTTAAAACAATAGACTTCAATCAGCAGTGTGGTAAAGTGGTAAAATGGCAAGTTCAGAGGAGGAAGGTTGTAGGTTCGATTCTCCCGATCCCAAATTTTTTTGTTTTATTTTAAGCTGCCATAACTGGCTCTGGAATAAAATTTACGCAATTTAAACATGTTTTTCGGGAGTTTCTCGCTATGAATAGACATTTTCCAGAATAAAAACAGACATTTAATTTTTGAAGAAATTCACAAATATGCTGAAGATTTCAATTTTTTTTCAAATTTTTTTTTAATCGAAAAAACAGTTGAGGATTTTAAACACATCGGTGACATTCGATGACAAACTGCTGGAAACATATGTTCTTGGCACAATACGCGCATTTGACCATTGACAATGTTTTGCACCCAGATAATTGGCACTTTCCACAAACTTTACGGTCAAAGCAATATTGAATTGGTCTGTCACATTTCGGAGCGCAACTGTCCACATAACCGCCAGAATACCAGGCATACTGTCTCCATTCTTGGAAGATGGGAGAGCACATCTGCCAATATGCTTGGCTCAGCATCTGCAATCAAAAAATGAGGGACGTTTTCAGAAACTTCAGAAACTTTGATATTCCGTCAATTCAATCATGAAGAACTTGACGGAATATGCGCAAAGAAAAGAGAAGGACTTTAGAGAAGAACAGATTTGGAATCCTCATAAGCTCTTCTATCTGCTCCCAAAATTTCGAAAAAAAAGTTTAACCTGCTCCCTCAAGTAACTCCCTTGTCAGCTGCGGAGGGACGTAAACAGACTGGTTTTATGATATGGGAATCTATGTATGCCAATTTTTCAAATATCAGAATTTCAGAATATTTCTGGTTTCAGGAAATCGAAACTTCAGATAATTCCGAATTTCGAAATTCGAACTTCAAACTAGTTTGGATGTTCGGAAATATCGTTTTTGATTAAAATTGTTTTTCAAGTGAGGATTAAGTTTCAAAGACATAAAACAGTTAACAACATATGTACAAACAGCAAACGAAATCCTGAGGATCTAATGAAAAAATTTTCTCTAGGAATGTTTCCTGAAATGTTGGATTTTCTCTAACAGAGTTCCGAATTCGGCACCGTAAGCTCCTCCATTATTTCATTTGCTAACTTTTTCAAGTTTCAAAGTGAACGATAAAAATTCGTATTTTTATATTTTCAGACAATCAATTTGAAAGAAGTTTCTCCGGCACCTCGCGATCAAATTTTCTAAATTTTCTTTAATTTCTTGTTTTTCAAAGTTATACCAACTCGAATCCAGGGAAAACGGAGATTTTTTAAAGTATTTGCAGACAATCAAAAATATTACCAGTTCTGAACATGGCGTATCTTCCTTATATATAAAACGCTACACGCGTCTGTCCGTCCCGGTGTCACTCTGTCGACTTTTGAAAAGCTTGAAAAGTAAATATAGATTTAGGTGATCCTTTAAAAAAGTAAAGCACTGAGCGACCAACAAGTAAAAGCTAGGTTAAATGCGACGAAGGCGCACCAGCTTGCTGGGAAAACCAGAAATTTGAATCAGTTACAATTTACAAAATTGCTTCAACTTAAATTATTCATTCAAACAATAAAAACTATTGCAGAACTTTTAAAACCTTGAGCATGTTTTTCGCCGAATACATTCAAACATAGGGATTACAACATGAAAGTTACTGTAGATTTTTCGAGGTTACTGTAGGCAGATTCATCAAAGGTGCTGTAAATTCAATTGATGCAAACTAATAAATGTAAAGTAACTTCGACCGAAAAAGTGAAATATCAAGGCATTCCTACCTGTAAAAATTGTGAAAAGCTTTCAATACATATGGATGAATCAATTTTCGAAAGTCCTAATTCAATTGGATACTTCTAAATGTTCTAATTATAAATCTCAGCAATCGATCATTGTGGCAAGAGTCCTTCAAATTTGAAACACAGTACGCAAATGCTACCGTAATCCTATCGACGTAGCTACCAATAATCGGTTGCCTACGTCAGGAATTTATCATTAGCAAGCCCCTCCCACTTGATATATAAACATCAAAGATCAGAGATTATATATTACCGTACTGTTTATTTGTGCAACCCAGCAAAAATTAAGAGTGAGCAAGACCAATTTTCTTATCACTCTTGTTTACGAAATTTTTTCACTTTTTCTCAAATTTTCTTCTAAAGTTTATTTAGCTATAAAAACATCAGTGAAACCGATTTTTAGTATTAGGAACAAGAAATAAGGAAGAAATCTTCCTTACAAGGGAAGGTTTTTCAGACAGACAACGGTTGAGAATTTGCTTAAAGTTTGTACAAAAGTACTTTCGAACATGCTGAATCCGAATTCAAAAAAATTTTTAGCTCGTTCTCAAAAGGAGTCGAAATAAGGCATCTGAAAGTGCTTTCAGTACTTTTTCGAGGTTCAAAATTAGTTTTTCAGGATTTGCTTGAGTGCGAAACTCATTTTTGAACATTTTTCTATCTTTTGAAATAGTTTTTGAACATATTCAACAAAAAATTCTTTTGAAAAATTTTGAAAAAAAATCACTATGGGGTCCCCCACACTTTGAAAATGATTTTTTGAAAATTTTTTGAAAAGTGCGAAAAAATGTTCCAATTATTCAGAAATGATGAAAATAGCGTTCTGACAAATTTTGACAGGTCAATGTCTTTGGGCTCAAAAAATCTCCAAAATCTGTTGTTAGAACTTGTTGTTAGAACTTTGACAGTTCCTAATTTCTGAAATAACGCTTGAAATTAACTGAAATCTATAGAAATAGGTTCAAATCTTGTATGTGATCGACTTAACAGTACCCCATCTCGAAAAGAGCAAAATTGAGCAAATTTTCAGAGTCTGAGATTTTCGTTTTGAACGATAGGAGAATGTAAAGACCGGTCGAAAAGACGATTATCTAACTTTTCTCAAACTCTCATAAAGTCTTTTTTTTCTTTGAAAACTCTTGAAATTAATCAAAAAGTGTCATATAGTGCCTAGGGGGGCAAACTTGAAATTGAAAATAGGTTTCAAAAAATGCAAAAAAGTTTTACCAGAGTGAGGTTGAACCAGCATAGTCACTCCTAATGAGCCACCTTTTACCACAACACCACACAGCCGATGTTTTCCCCTGGGAGTTAGAACGGGCTAAAAATTTTTTGTCATCGTATAGAGCATGTCTTAAACTATAAGTATGCAAATTTTGAGCAAATTCTCAACCGTTGTCTGAAAAAACTACCCTCGTTAGATATAAAACGCTACACGCGTCTATTGGTCCTCATGTCAGGCTGTGAACTTTTGAAAAGCTTAAAAAATAAATATGGATTTACGTGACCCTTTAAGAAAAAGTGAGTAGTTCAGCGACGAACCAGTAAAATAACTAGATTAACTCGCGCCGAAGGCGCACCAGCTTGATGGTATAAGATAAAAAACTTTATTTGAAAACGTATCCCTCTAATAGAATTTAACCCAAACTGTCAACTTTGAGCTCAATTATCTCGATTCCTTTGATGAATATCACAAATTTGTCAACGGATGAAATATTGGTGATATTATAATAAACAATTTTTGAGTTGATAATTTTTTGATATCTTCAACAAGAATCGGGATCATTGAGCTCAAAGTTGACGGTTTTGGTGGTCTTCTGTTAGAGGAAAAACGGTATACGGTAGGGTAGTAATGTAAAGTGGTCTATTGGTTGATTAGATGTTCCTGAAGAACTTCTCTAAAAAAATTACGAAAACTTCAAATTAATTAATTTCAGCCCATTTCAATTCAAATCGATATCTTGTGCTGTGGAGCGAACGCCTAAGCGGTAAGTGGAAATTGATGGTTGCTCATTTTTTATATACTTATTGTATACTTTATTTAAAGGTGGGGGGACAGGAGATTTTTCGTAGTTTTTTTGTAGCTAGAGTATGCATTCTACCGTCACGGTGTACAACGCTTAATGTCACTCTGCGTACAGCTGTCGTTCTCGCATTTATGTATGCAATCGGGCGTGCGCTTTCTCTTTGCCCGCGTGGCTCAGTCGGTAGCGGCGCCGCACCCTCAATCAATGCCCTCACAAGTTCAACTCCTCGAGGGGCATCTTTGAACGGAATTTCGAGAACATTATTTTTTTCATGTCCCCCCACCTTTAATCAAAATTTGTATTCAAAAAGATTTATTTAATTCTCATGATCTCGAAACCGCATTCGCTCTTCCATATCTGATGCATTGAACTCTCTTCTCTCAATTTTTCGATATTCTCGACACGTGGAAATTGTATTCGGTGAATCACTTCGGTAGTACATCAGAGCGGATTCTTCAACTCCTGGCCTTTCCTCTGAAATCCCAGAATTAAAAATCTGACGATTCTATCAGAAAACTTACGACACGAATTTCTCAAAAAGCAGAAAATCGCCAGACAGATAAAGAATATAACAAGGATGAGAATTAAGAAGCCTGCGGAGACGAGAACAATTGGGATATGAGTCAAGACTTCAGACAGTGTCATATCGCAGTTAAAAGATCCTTGTTCGTTGAATCCACATGTTTTGAGATATGGTTCGATCATTTCGTTTTCACTTTGGGTCACAGGGATAAGGGTCCATCTCGGGTCTTTTTCAGATCGAAGTGGATAATTGACATAACCACCGTAGACTTTCCCATCGCCGATTCTAAAATTTGAAGTTTGAATTACGAGATTCTATTTAAGTTGTTATCATATTTTCCAGATAATATATCTAAACAAAGCCAAAAGTGAGTGATTTTCATCTCTGTCAAGTTCTCCAAAAATTTATTTAGTTCGAGATTACCATATACCATTTTTCCTCAAATAGAAGTTCACGCAAACCATCCATTTTGAGCATAATTATCTCAGTTTTTATCAGATATCAAAGCAATCTTAACTGAAAAAAAATGTTTATCAGAAGGTAACCAATATTTTATCTGTTGACTCTCATAGGAACCGAGATTATTGAGCGTAAATGCGGAGCATCATTTCAAATTTTCTATAGAATATTATTCAATAAACCTTCATAAAAATGTTTTTAAAAAATCAACTACCCGGGCCAAGCAGGCCAGATGATTTTTTTTCGGCTCGGGATTTGACAAGTATGGTAATTATTGTTGAATTCTGTATTTTCGAATTTTTCTAAATAAATAGCTATGACTAATTTTTTGCAAGAATTCAGTTTTGAATTATCAGTTACTGTAGTTATGTAATGCAGGTAATTGACACCTAAAAATCATGATTGTGCTTTTATCTATGAAAACGTTTCACAAAAGTGTCCCAATGCACATTTGCACTTTGTATGGAATTAAATATTTGAAAACTGTTATGATGCAAGAATTGAATTCAGTTGTGACAAGTTAAAAAATTGTGTAAATATGCAAAAAATGACCTTCCGGTAGCATTATCAAAAATTTTACTCAGCAGACTTTTTTCACTTTTTTGACTTCCTGTCGCCCTTTAGCAAATAAAATACAACCCACATACTTTATTTAATTTGTTGATTTCAAGTTTCAAAAAAGTTCTATAGTAAGAAAATATGGTTATTTTTTTTTCTTAGTTTTTGAGCTTTCTAAACTTTTTGAGAATACAAAACAAAAATAGATTACGGTATCTTAGTGGATGATTTCGAAGTATGCTGTCATAAAAATAGGAACTGTGGAAGAGAACCGCTAGTACACATGGTCGAAAGTCCTAGGATGAAAACTACCGTAACCTGAAAATATTTTCATTTTCCGGTTTTTTTTATTTGTACGGACAGACAAGTTTGAACATGAGACATTTTATCTGTGATACGATTTCCGGAAAATGGACGAAGTTCAAGAAAATGAACTTGGGCAATTAATAATTCCAGGTTACGGTAGTTTTCGTTTAGAAAATCAGTCTGAAACTTTTCTGTGAAACGTTCTCTTCTATTAAAGAACGTTATTTTTAAGTGACATTTAAAATTTTTGCATTCCTGAACTACAGTAATCCATAATATGAAAGTTAAAGTTTGGAAAGTATTTTTGAGAAGTCGATAGGAAATCAAGGAAAACTGTTTAGAAAGTTTTGAAAATACAGAATTCAAGAGTAATCTCCATACTTGTTAAACCCCGGATCGAAGAAAATTCTAGTCCGACCCAGTTGACCCGGATAGGTGTTTTTTTTCGACCAGCAGAAAATGTTAAGTTCGATTCTTACCTAAACTCTCCATTCCTTTTAACTTCTTCTGGAGTTAATGCAGCTGTGATATAGTACGGAACATGATCCGCTTCGGAAGTAGTTCTATCTGCTAGCTTTGTGATATCAATTGGTGCCAGATCATACGGTCTGCTGTCCACCACGACCATGTATCTCCTAAAGAAAAAATTTCAAATATATTATCTTGAAAGTTCTCCTCCACCTACCAAACATCCGCGATTTGCGGTACCTTTGCACTATGCACATCGATATCTCTCTGCCTTGAATAATCACCCAAATGGCTGACCAAATCACTGGGTGGGTTAATTGAGCAAACTCTTTCGAGAAGATTCCATTGACGAAGAGTTACTGGAGACCATCTATTCCAGACATCGTCTACTTTGGCGCGAATTTCAAACTTGTATTCTCTAGGCCTGTGAGGGAGATTAAAGATCAATGCGCACTTCCACTGACATTCGAATTTCGGACATTTGAGAGTGGCGTCGGTGAGCTCGTCGGTGAGCCTTGTCGAGTTTCTGTCTTTGAGACTGTACTTTATCTGGAACAATGAGAGTGAGAAGCAAGGCTGTGCAAGGCCTTGGGCCAATCAGTCCGTTCTTTCGAAAATACGAAATGCCCCTGAAGTCCCTAGGGCTGCTAGGCCGCCGTATCTTACCTACCTCAGAAGTACCGTATTCAAAATGCTGCGGCAGACCACGGCACAACCTTGTTAAGAAAAAACTGTTTCTCAATACCGGAAAACTTAAAGCATTCCAAACATTATTTCCGGCAATAAAATAAAAAAGCAGCTGTCAATATATTGAATTCCTCATTCTCCAAAATTTCAAGATCTTTCCACATTTTGAAATCAACTCAAAGGAAATTTCTAGGAAAACTACATATTCTACGAGGAAATGAGAAAACAGGATGTTCAAAGAAACACCCGGTGTTTGCATTTCGTGGGTTAAATTCCTCAGTTTGTTCAAAATGAGGAAACAGTGGGTATACTGTAGATCAGCAAATAGCTGATGGTCAAAAGCTTTCAGAAGTATTTGTTGAGTAAGAATTTGTGGGATTTCAGAGCCTGTCTCAAAGTGAATCAAAGCAATCGAAGGATGTAGCAATATATTCCCAAGAAAAAATTGGGAACCTCTTTGTCAAATAATGATCAGAATGTATTTCTAGAACTAAAAGAACTAGGTCTTGGTTGGTGTAACTGGGTCATTAATTATAAATTAATTAGGACACTGTCAAGTGTTATATCTTCTGAGGAATAATTCTGGTTCAGCTGAGAAATAGAAAAATATAATAAAATTCTTGCTGCTATTATGACACACTGATCTTATCACATTAGCTCAAATCTTTGGGAAGTCATATGTCTATGAGAATCTAATTGGACGAATTGTAGAATCCATTATAATTTGTTCCATCATCGATACTCGCCTGGTAAGAAATTATCCTTCCTGGTAGCTTCAACGGTTGGAAAACAATGGATACAGCGAAATCCGTTTCCACGACAATCCGAGCTTCTGCAACACCGTATTGCCCCTGAAATTCTAGTGGATTTGTTAGGAATTTTACTATGAAGAATTTCTGAGGAATTTGCAAACAAAAGTTACAGTAGGCTTCCTCATTTTTATTCGTAGGGTTTGGTATAAATAACGAGAGAAACACTTGATAATCATACATATGCAAGCGTTGTTGCAAAGCCGTTAATATTTTTCTAGCTGTTTTTTTTTGTGACTACAGTAATCTTCTTAAACAGTACCTGTGACATAGTTGAGAACACAGCCCATCCGTGCTTCCATCTCATCTGTGTCCACTTCTTTCCTCCCTCTTTTTGTTGATCATCTGACGTCGTTATGGTGATATTGTAGGTGCTCGATGGAAGTAGATTATCCACAACAAACTCATGAGCTTTGCCAGGTTCTCCAATCGCCGAGTTTTCAATTTCTTTGAAAATTCCAGTTGGAGAATGAATCGTTTTCGCTTTGATCTGGAATTTTTTAGGGGGTTTGAAAACCGAGATTGGGTCATCTTCTGGGTTCTGTTATTTTTAGGTCAAGTTTTGACAATTCGATAAAATGGTTAGGGATTTTTCAAATTATCTGAAAATTTTAGAGTGTATTGAACTAATCTAGATTGACGTGAAACTACGGTTCTCTAAAAGTAAGCCACAAAACTCTCAGTTTATCATAAAACCTGTAATAGAAGGGCATTCACACTGTCGTTTTAGAGCTAATTTTCCTTAGCTTCTATGCAAGATATCAAAAAGTGGTCAACTGGTAAAATGATTATGATAATATGATGAACAATTTATCAGTTGACAACTTTTTGATATCTTCTACAGTGACCGAGAAAAATTAGCTCCTAGTTAAAAATTGGGGGGCCTTTCTATTACAGGTTTTACGGTTTCTCTTTCAAATTTGTTCAACCCATATTTTATTCTTTTACAAACACTTAATCTAGTTAATCTAATGTGACCCCACCTAGATACCGCCCCTTCTTGCTAACGGTTAAATTCGTAGAAAAGAAGGGAAAACATGAGAAATGAGAAATATCTACATTTAGATTCGAAAGGAGTGTGACAGTTATCCCTGTACAATACGGTAAGAACACTTATAGTTCAAAGTCTCACCGTAAATTTAGAAGTGGCTTTTGTTAGCCAATTTGCTGGCCAGTACACCGTAAGTGAGTTAGGGGTTCTTGCTCTCAGCTTCAGAATATTCGCTTCATCCGTATCCAACGTGGCATAAGCACACCAAACTTTGTTACCGTATCCATAGCTAGTTCCGGCTTGAACTGTGACATTATAAGCAGTTGCAGGTTTCAAACCGTCAATTTGTAGACGTGTCAAAGGAATTGGAACTGGGATTGACCTCTTATTGGTTGACATGTTTCCGGACAAGTCGTAGACTTTGACCTAGATATGGACGAGATTAGGAATATTAGAATGATCGAAAGTTTACTAGGTGTTGAGTGATTACAAAATGATGTCCAGCTTCGAGGACAACTGGTGGAATCCAAGATACTTCGATAGATTCGTTTTTCCGGTCCATTAGAGTCAAGTCGGTAGGAGCGTGCAGCCATGGTAGTGCTGGAATGTCAAGATTTAGATTTCTTCTAATAGAACTTTGAGCTCAATAAGCTCCATTACAGTAAGAGGTTTCAAGCAACCACAATTGAAAAAATAATTGTCGTATAGATCTGTGGGCAAGTATATTAGAACAACTTTGAAAAACAACATCTGCAACTTTGTTCAAATTTTATAGTAGAATGTAAAGCAATTTTGATTTTTTTTTTTGAATTTCTTTCATTCAAATTAACTAATGGAGAATCGTTTCGACATTTCTTTTTTGTTTTCTTTTTTGGTATTTTTTTATAGTTAGCAAGAAACCTTTTTCATCAGTCATTTTCTTGCTCACCTTTTGATTAATATATAAAGAGAACATAATCATGATAATGCTTTTTTTGCATTGGTGGTTTTGCAATTTTCCGATGAGGAATTTCTTTTCTATCTGGAAAAAAACCGATTGCAAAAGTTGCATTGCCTAATTTGATATTTTCTGAATAATGGATTTGGCCCTCTGAATTAGAAAAAATTCGGAGTATCGAAATTCGGAATTTTTGACTATGAGTTCCTCAATTTCCGAATTTTAGAGTTTTTCAATTTCTGATTCCCTCTGAATTCTCAAATATTTCAATTTGAGAGCTCACAGCCTGCCGAAACACGATCGCGCCAAAAAGCCGCCTTCAAATGGTGCGGCGGAGCGCGCCTGTATTTTCAGTGTTAATTTTCAGAGATTTTTTTCAGATGACGATATCTCAGCTCAAACTGAATAAAAAACGATGGGACAACCTACGAATTGTAGAGAAAAAATTTCTTCATCAGATTTTAATATTTTTCAATGTTGAAAATTTTCCGGCTTTGCGGCATTGTGCCTTTTCTGAAAAAAGTCCAGCTTTTCATACTTTTTCAGCTAAAATTTCAAAGTTTCCAAGTTTGTTTTGTATGTATGACATGATACATATGTTTTTGAATCAGAAAAAGACAGTTTTAATAAGATTTTCACGAATACAAGTTGTCGTTTTCTGAATTTTCGAAAATTCGAATTTCTCAGTTTTTGAATTTCTGAATTTCTGAATTTCTAAATTTCTGAATTTCTAAATTTCTAAACTCCTGAATCCCTGAATTTTTGAATTACCGATTTTGAAGTTGAAGACTTTAAAAACCAATTATCAAATTTTCGAGACTTCCAATTTCTTTCTGAATCTAAGAATTATACAAATAATTTTGAGGATTACCACATTTTTGAATTCTGAAGCTTCGATAATTTTTTGTCTAGACATAGTTAGAGCTCGTATGGGAACTTCAGACTTATTTCCAAAAAATGTGAAGTACTTTCAAAGGGCAAAAAAAGTTTGAAATAGAAAAATGAAACCTAATTTCTCAAAATCAGTTTTTAAGAAGTAATAAAATGATTACTGTTCATATTTTTGAAATTGATAGAAACCAATCGTAAGAATATGAAAAATACAGTATTCTGAATTACATTTTAATGAAGCTAATCTAAATATGAAAAAAAGTTTCCAATAATACATACTTTCGAAATCACGCCCTCGTTTCTGTCGGTAAACACACTGCGTCTTTGACTTTAGAAAAAGAGAATCAGAGAAAAAAAGAACAAGAGAAAAGAGGAAGAGAAATTTTACACTTAGCAATGATGCTTTCGTACTGCCCCGACTATATATTTTTCCTGGATCTAGGTAGATTAATAGGAGCTACAAAATTAGAAATTTTAATTTCAAATAAAAATTAAAATTTCGGAAAGAATGTAGATAGACAAGACAACGAATTAAAAACATGCGAAAAGTGATGGAAAGAAGTTTCGCGAACATTTCAAAATCATTATATTAGTCATCCTAATCCCATGACTTCTGTTTAGTTATTGTCATCTTTTTTTCCGTTTCCTTAGTATGACGTTTGTTAAAACGTATGTTCAAATAGGTCATAATTTTCTGACGCTTCAAAAAAATTCTTTCAATTGTTTTTTTCATTTTTTTTCACGTTTTTGAATGTTTTTCTGACTCTAAAGCTCTCTTTCATGTGTATCACTTCTTTCTCTTATCAGCAATGTTTTCTCTCATCAGCCACTTCATTTGCTAGACTTTTCTCCTCAACCAAATTTCTTATCGATTTTTTTCTCAGTTTTCGTACAACTTCAAAAGTTAGTTTAAAAAATCCCTTAATGCTCACCCGCAAGACTGGTAGTTGCCATATTTGAAGAATACCAGAGACTTGTATCATTCTGAAATACACATAATTATAAAATTTCGGATTGTCATGATTCTAAAAAATCATCAAACGATGACATTTTTTAAAACACCATTATCATCCTCATGCATATTCAAATACCGTTAAACCTGTAATAGAAGAGCCCTCTAGCTCTCAATTTTGAACCAATGTTTCTCGGTTCCTGTAAAAGATAGAAAAAAAAGTTGTCAACTAATAAATTGTTTATCATGATATCACAAACATTTTATTAGTTGACCACTTTTTGATATCTTGCATAGGAGCCGAGATAATTTGGTTCAAACTTTACGGACATTTTTCTTAAAGGGGGACTCCGACCAAAAATTTTTTTGCATTAAAATGTGTTAAAATTTATTTGTTTTTCAAATATTATTGCAAAAAAATTCAAAGAAAATGCGTTGGAAAGGAAGAAAATTCA